GAGTCAGTGAGTGAGTCAGTGAGTCTGTGAGTGAGTCAGTCAGTGAGTGAGTGAGTCAGTGAGTGAGTGAGTGAGTGAGTCAGTGAGTGAGTGAGTGAGTCAGTGAGTGAGTCAGTGAGTGAGTGAGTCAGTGAGTGAGTCAGTGAGTGAGTCAGTGAGTGAGTGAGTCAGTGAGTGAGTCAGTGAGTGAGTGAGTCAGTGAGTGAGTCAGTGAGTGAGTCAGTGAGTGAGTCAGTCAGTGAGTGAGTGAGTCAGTGAGTGAGTCAGTGAGTGAGTGAGTCAGTGAGTGAGTGAGTCAGTGAGTCTGTGAGTGAGTCAGTGAGTGAGTCAGTGAGTCTGTGAGTGAGTCAGTCAGTGAGTGAGTGAGTCAGTGAGTGAGTCTGTGAGTGAGTGAGTCAGTGAGTGAGTGAGTCAGTGAGTCTGTGAGTGAGTCAGTGAGTGAGTCAGTGAGTGAGTGAGTCAGTGAGTGAGTCAGTGAGTGAGTGAGTCAGTGAGTGAGTGAGTCAGTGAGTCTGAGTGAGTCAGTGAGTGAGTCAGTGAGTCTGTGAGTGAGTCAGTCAGTGAGTGAGTGAGTCAGTGAGTGAGTCTGTGAGTGAGTGAGTCAGTGAGTGAGTGAGTCAGTGAGTCTGTGAGTGAGTCAGTGAGTGAGTCAGTGAGTGAGTCAGTGAGTGAGTGAGTCAGTGAGTCTGTGAGTGAGTCAGTGAGTGAGTCAGTGAGTCTGTGAGTGAGTCAGTCAGTGAGTGAGTGAGTCAGTGAGTGAGTCAGTGAGTGAGTGAGTCAGTGAGTGAGTGAGTCAGTGAGTGAGTGAGTCAGTGAGTGAGTGAGTGAGTGAGTCAGTGAGTGAGTGAGTCAGTGAGTGAGTGAGTGAGTCTGTGAGTGAGTGAGTGAGTCTGTGAGTGAGTGAGTGAGTCAGTGAGTGAGTGAGTGAGTCAGTGAGTGAGTGAGTGAGTCAGTGAGTGAGTGAGTCAGTGAGTGAGTCAGTGAGTGAGTGAGTCAGTCAGTGAGTGAGTCAGTGAGTCGATGTGATGTGAGTCAGTGACTGAGTGAGTGAAGTCATGTGAGTGCGTCAGTGATCCTGTGTGAGTGAAGTGGTAGTCCGTGATGTGAGTGAGTGAGTCAGTGAGTGTGAGTGCGTTCAGTGAGTGGGAGTCAGTGAGGTGAGTCATGAAGTGATGATCAGTCAGGTAGAGTCATGCAGTGAGTGAGTCGTGAGTGAGTCAGTGAGGAGTGCAGTGAGTGAGCTCACAGTGACGTGAGTTGAGTCAGGTGAGTGAGTCATGGAGTGATTAGTGAGGATCAGTCAGTGACGTGAGTGATCATGAGTGAGTCTGTGAGATTGAGTGTCCTTTTCAGTGAGTGAAGATCAGTGAAGTCTGTGAGTGAGTCCAGGTCAGTGAGTCGAGTGAGTCATGTGAGTGATCAGTCAGTGATTGAGTGAGTCAGTGAGTGAGTCTGTTTTTTTTTGAGTCAGTGAGTCTGTGAGTGAGTCAGTGAGCCTGAGTCAGGGTCAGTCCAGTGAGTGAGTCTGAGTGCAGTCAGTGAGTTGATGAGTGAGTCAGTGAGTGATGTCGTAGTGAGTGAGTCAGTGAGTGAGTCTAGTGAGTGAGTCAGTGAGTGCAGTGAGGGTCAGTGCGGTGAGGCAGTGAGTGCAGTGAGTCGTGATAGTGAGTCAGTGAGAGTGAGTCAGTGAGTGGAGTCAAGTTACGTGAGCAGTGAGTGAGTCAGTGAGTGAGTCAGTCAGTGAGTCACTCAGTCAGTGAGTGAGTCAGTGAGTGAGTCAGTCAGTGAGTCAGTGAGTCAGTGAGTCTGTGAGTGAGTCAGTGAGTGAGTCAGTGAGTCAGTGAGTGAGTCAGTCAGTGAGTGAGTGAGTCAGTGAGTGAGTCTGTGAGTGAGTGAGTCAGAGTGAGTGAGTCAGTGAGTCTGTGAGTGAGTCAGTGAGTGAGTCAGTGAGTCTGTGAGTGAGTGAGTCAGTGAGTGAGTGAGTCAGTGAGTCTGTGAGTGAGTCAGTGAGTGAGTCAGTGAGTCTGTGAGTGAGTCAGTCAGTGAGTGAGTGAGTCAGTGAGTGAGTCTGTGAGTGAGTGAGTCAGTGAGTGAGTCAGTCAGTGAGTCAGTGAGTCAGTGAGTCAGTCAGTGAGTCATTCAGTGAGTGAG